AAACAAACTTTGTTTTGTTATGTTCAGCTCGTGTTGTGTTAATCCGTTACGACGAGAAAACAAGAATAATCTTTGTGCTCACACCTTCAGTTTTGTATTTTAATAAACTTCAGTTGTTGATGACCTAGCTAAACGTAAGTCTGTGGTACGCTGCTAGTAAAAACCAGCCTTAAAATTTCACTGTGTTTCCACCCCTAAAAACCTTGTCCGAAATGTTCCTAAGCAAAACAGACAAATTACTACGTTTTCAACTTTATAACTCTTTATAGGAGTAGAAACACAGTGCAAAGTTACTGCGCGTAATGTTTCACTGTTTGTCCGAGCCTTATAATAAGCCAAGTTCTGCCTCGCATATTACAAAGCTTTAAGCAATCAACAAAGCGAAGACAGCAAGATCGGCACTTGAAAAATAATTAGCAGTTATACGAACATCATTTATTGTTTAACTTTTCTCAGCATTTTAACTGATTTACCTTTTAATTTAAACGTTGTACGCGCACGTTTTGAATTTGATATTTGATGGCCTAATGTTTGTGTTCCGTCTCAAATCCTGGAATTTTTCATCACTACTTTTCCTGTTGCTTTGCGTAAAAAGGGAATAAATGTGCAAAAAAAATCAACGCGAGCGAGCTGGGAAAGCCCTCTGATGTTTAAATTTTCTCAGCATTTTAAATTTACCTATTAATTTAAACTTTGTACGCGCGCGTTTTGAATTTGATATTACATGGTTAAATATTTGTGTTCTCAAAACCTTGAACTTCTGATTATTACATTTCTGGTTTTTTTTGCATACAAAAGCGAATAAAAGTCCAAAAAATTAAAGCGAGCGTACATGCGAAGCCTTTTGTTAGGTGCTATTGCTGTCGCCGTCTTCATTTGTGATTGCTTGAGCTCCAAAAGTATAAGGGAATAAATTTCAGACGTTTTCAGTAAGCGGTTTATTTGTCATTTAACGGCATCCCACAAAAAACATGAACATAGAAAAGAAAACCTAACAGAAAACACTTAAATATGCTCTAAATCCGATGTCAAACTTGCGTGTGATCTTCTTTGCAGTCGTTTTTTGGCTTCATGACTTTGCGTGACGAGCCTAAAGAACGGCCGAGAAAAAGACCCCAACTTTTATACGAGTTGCTGTTAATCAGAATTTCAATTTGCACATGTATTTATGGATTCCATTGTTATTGCAAAACAAACCGCTTATGTGAAGGCCTTTAGGTTACTGTGAACTTTCAGTCCCAAGCTTTAACATGTTATTCTCTTTACTAACTGTTACAGATTTTCTTTACCATTAGTTCTGAGAATTTGACAGTTGATCAAGACAAAGCCCTCCCACTCATCATAATTACGTTTATTTTCAACACCCTTCTGCTCGGTAATTTACTTAAAGAAGTAAAGAGGAATAACATGTTGATCACTCTAGAATTGAAAACGATGAGTGCAAGTTTTCAAAATCTCCCCACTTTACCTCCTCAGAAGTACACTAAATTTTCCACGCCCGGTTTTATTCAGAGCTTGTCAGACGTACTTTAAAACACTGCAGCAGAAATTTTGATGACTATACTTTATCATTCGTTGTTGCTGCTGCTGTTGTGTAATTCGTATTTCACTTTGCAAGAATTAGACTGATTATCTTGGCAAAATTAATTCAACGAATGTCAAAATGAGAGGCACAAGATTCATACTCAAAGCACTTGCTGTTGTTTTCCACAAAGAGGTTTGAAGGCTAGGCACATAATCCAAATTCACAATCAATTAAAACAAATTAGAGGAATAATTCAGTTCACCCATGCCAAATCGTATTTTCTTGTGATGAAAACTGTGTAGCCTAAATTTTCCCTGAACGTGGAAATGAAAATCGAATTGAATTTAAGAATTTAGACATTTTATTCACTTAAACTGAAAATCAATTTCAAGAATAGGAAGGTAAGTTGTTGCAGTGATGAATGCCAGTCAGATATTCAAGCTCTAAAACAAAACAACAGAGTAATTTGCTAATTTGCGACGACTGCAGTTTTACCTAAGAACAAATGCTTCTCTCCCCCCACACCCCCTCCCTCTCATCAAACGATGTCTAAGGTCGGCTGATGATTTTATTGGCTGTATGACTATTGTAATCGATGAAATAATTAACAGCCAGCAAGAAGCACTACATTGCACATCATCAATGTGAGGTGCATTCAGTCATTCCTAAGACGTATTTCTATGCTGGGAAGCTGCTGGTTAAAGCAAGAAGAGATTTGAAATGCACTCATCTAGTTCACAGAAAACGAATATACGAGTCAGCATAGATATGCAATCTACCAACTATACCATTAAAAACACATCCAAAATACTGCCACTGGTTAGACCTTCCAGCTGTCATACAAGTCAGTTCAAACATAAGTATGTCTTTTGAAACAGTTGGGTTAAACGTTAGACCATTCTGCACTTTATTGAATTCAGTCAAAAAAAATATCAGCAGGTGGTCAGCTTTTGGAAAATCCTTGTTCGGACAGTATTGAAACAGGTCAGTCAGAAACAACTTTGCAAATTTTGCCATCAGCAAAGCAAATGACTCAAAAAAAGTCTCAGTCACCCTCGTGATCCCAGTCATCCCAGTAATTCCGGTCATCCTAATCATCCCAGTCACCCTAGTCACCCCAGTCACCCTAGTCATGCCTGTCATCCCAGTCACCCTAGTAAGGCTAGTCAGACTAGTCATTCCAGTCATTGTAGTCATTCCAGTCTCTCTAGTAACCCCGGTCACCCCAGTTATCCTAGGCACCCCAGTTATCCTAGTCATTCCAGTAACCCAAGTAAGCCTAGTCACCCTAGTCATACCAGTCACCTCAGTCACCCAAGTCAACCCAGTCATTGTAGTCATCCCAGTCTCTCTAGTCATCCCGGTCACCCCAGTTATCCTAGTCATCCCAGTCTCTCTAGTCACCCCAGTCACCCCAGTTATCCTAGACACCCCAGTCATCCTAGTCATTCCAGTAACCCTAGTAAGCCTAGTCACCCTTGTCGTACCAGTCACCTCAGTCACCTAAGTCCTCCCAGTCATTGTAGTCATCCCAGTCTCTCTAGTCATCCCGGTCACCCCAGTTATCCTAGTCATCCCAGTCACCCTAGTCATTCCAGTCACCCTAGTCATCCCAGTCACCTCAGTTATCCTAGTCATTCCAGTAACCCTAGTAAGCCTAGTCACCCTAGTCATACCAGTCACCTCAGTCACCCAAGTCATCCCAGTCATTGTAGTCATCCCAGTCTCTCTTGTCATCCCGGTCACCCCAGTTATCCTAGTCATCCCAGTCACCCTAGTCATTCCAGTCACCCTAGTCATCCCAGTCACCCCAGTTATCCTAGTCATTCCAGTAACCCAAGTAAGCCTAGTCACCCTAGTCATACCAGTCACCTCAGTCACCCAAGTCAACCCAGTCATTGTAGTCATCCCAGTCTCTCTAGTCACCCCAGTCACCCCAGTTATCCTAGTCATTCCAGTCACCCTAGTCATTCCAGTCACCCTAGTCATCCTATTCATTCCAGTCACCCTAGTCACCCTAGTCATTCCAGTCATCATAGTCATCTTAGTCATCCCAGTTATCCTAGTCATCCAAGTCACCCTAGTCAACCCGGTCACCCTAATCATTCCAGCCATCAAAGTCATCTTAGTCATCCCAGTCACCTTAATATCACAGTCACCCTAGTCAACTCAGTCATCTTTGTCGCCCTAGTCATTCCAGTCATCATAGTCATCCTTGTCATCCCAATCATCCCAGTCTCCCTAGTTATGCCAGCCAACCCAGTCATTCCAGTCTAGTCTGCATAACAGGCACTTTATTAGCCAAGCAAGGCGAACATTGAGTGAAGGGTGAAACATGCGCTAAGCATGAGACAAGGGAAGGAGAAAATGAAGTGCCTGTAACTAGTCCATTGTTCTGGCTCTTCTGCCCATCTACACCCACAAGTATTGACTGACGGCGGTGATGTCAAAAGAACTGAACAAAACACCATCCATTACTCGAAAATTGTCACCTTTCTGGCTAAGAGAAATTCCAACACAAGCATAAAACACAGGAAATAAGACTCAGTGCAGCAAAAGTATGATTTGCTTTGTCAAAGTTTAGTTTTTCTCCAAACACAGCAGTGAGAAAGAAAAGATGGAAAACGTGTTGTTCAAACAAATTCCAAGGTCACGAGCTTATGAGTCATGTTTGGCCTGTCAACACTTAATTTCAAAAAGTTAGTAAATTGGGCTTTTCCATAAACCAAGTTGGAAATAATCCAAGAACAACTTTCCTCTTAAGCAATAAATTTAAACATTTCTTTTGTTTTTCTTTTATTTCTGGAACATTTGGAAATAAGCGAAAGGCTTCTTGAACAGCATCGTCAAAAGAACTTGAAAGCGTGATGGCTATTTTGTTCCAGACAAACATCCAGAATCTCACCAGAACAACTTATCATAACAACATTCATGTAGTGAACGTGGGAAAAGCCAAAGCAATGGATTGGTAACTGGCGCTTAATTTATTTCCTCCCTCGTCTTGGGCTTCGTGCAAAATGCCTCGTTCACCTTGTTTGGCTGATAAAGCGCCTGTTATGCAGACTATCCCACTCATCCTAGTCCCCCTACTCGCCCCAGTCACCGTCACCATCCCATTTATCTTAGTCAACCTAATCATCCTGGTCATTTCAGGTCATCCTAGTCACCCTTGTTATTGTAGTCACCCTAGTTATCCTGGTCACCCTAGTCATCCCAGTCATCCTAGTTGTCACAGTCATGCCAGTCACCCTAGCAATCACAGTCATCCCAGTCATACCAGTCATCCCGGTCATTGTACTTATGCCTCATGTCATCCTAGTCCCCCTACTCGTCCCGGTCATTCTTACCATCCCTGGGTGGTTATTAAGTCCCAGTTAAGCACTGATCCCTGGTTATTAAATCAGTGAGACAGTCATTAATTTTATTATTTTGATGTACAATTGCCTGCCATAAAGTCAGTTATTCTGTCAGACAGTCAGTTGAAAAGATCAATGTGGTAAGAAATTTGAGGGTACAATATGGATTGCATATCTACACTAACAAGTACTAAAATAACAACATAATAGTAATAATAATATTATTATTATTATGTATTAATAATAACAATAATAATAATATTATTATTATTATTATTATTATTATTATTATAACAGCAGAACTTGGCTATTGTTTCAAATGTGTGACACAGTTGAACAAAGTCGATAAATGCTAATCCAGGAGAAAACTTCAACCGCCCACGGTTTTGGCATTAGTTTTCTGATAATGAGTACTTCACCAACAAGTGCATGTCTCCTGGAATTTTAGCGGTCAATCTAACTATTACTGTTCTTGGAACCAAACAGATTTCAATGAGTTTGAGCTGTCTTTGTATTATGATTCCCTGCAGACAAAACTTGTGTTTGTGAGCAATATTTAATGAAAAATGTCTAATTCATACAAAGTTCAACAGAAATGCTGAATGAATCCCAATAAAGATTTTATTTGCTTGGTCTTGAAGTCCCAATATTCTTTATTCAGAAGTTACTAACAAAATATTTGTTCAACCCTGCTGATTTCTTTAATGCACTTTTGATGTGCCAGTCACTGAATCCCCAACAGCTGTAGCTGTTCAGAACTACACTCAATTGGATGATCATATTCTGCAAATTTCTCACTAAATAACACAATGTTGACCAAGCTGTACAACTGTACTTGATTTAATTTTATTTTGCATTTTATTCCGCATTTTTTTTAGTTTTAATTGTTGTTGTTGTTGTTTTATTGGAAAAAGTAAGATTGATAAACTTTTACTCCCAAAAGTGGTACACTTGATGGTGAAATAACTGTGAAATGAAAGAATTAAGTACAACATAACTATGTTACAACAGCTTTCCCTGGATTAGCTTAATCAGACTTTAAAATCACCTGGCCAACAATCCTGTTTATCTGGTTCACTCAAGAGCTGGATTACAAAGCAAAACATAGAGTACATACAGTACTGAAGATAACAGAGGCTCCTTGCTCGTGAAAATCCTTGTCCAGTCTTTCTGTGGCATCTGATCTGGAAACAAAAGTTTAAAATATTCAATGAAGTTCATCGGTGATTATCACAACAGACCAATTTCCCATTACATTCAAACCTTTCTTAGTTTACAGTCGCCTGTTTTGTTGGAAAGCTTATTATTACAGACAGTTTACTTTGTCCCTGGGGAAAGAAAGCCTTTAAACTTTTTCCAAATACACCCTTCTCAGAAAACAGACAAACTGTGAATACGGACACTTTCTATGGCCCCCTTAGTGCCAATACTAGAAAGGTTTGACAGCATCACATTTTCATGAATACCAGTGAGGGCAACCATGTTGGAATAATTTATCACATACGATTATAATATTTATAAACATCCACCCCTTGACTGTTCTAGCAAACAACACTTCTGGTATCAATTTTATAGACCGTTATGAGTGGTCAAAAAAGAATACAAGAGGTTACAGGGGGTAACAGCTGGTTAAAGGGGGCTACTAGTCATTACAGGGTTTACTGAGAATTACAAGTTTGTTTTAAGGTACATGGTATAGCTTAATGAAACTTTTAACGAAACAGTTCTGTTTATATGTTTTTTTTTTTAATTTTTTTAAGAGCTGGATTAAAACACAAATCATACAGCACTTACAGTACTGAAGATAACAGAGGTTCTTGGCTCATGAAGGTCCTTGTTCAGTCTTTCTGTGGCATCTGATCTGGAAACAATGAAGCTCATCAGTTATTTTCAGAACAGACTAATTTCCCACTCAAGTCAAACCTTGCTTTACAGACGCCTGCTTAGTTCGGAAAGCTTATTTAACTATTACAGAAAGTTTGCTTTGTCCCTAGGGACAGACAGCCCTTAATCTCTCTCTAAAACCAACCTGCTCAGTACAGACAACTTGTTAATATGGTCCACATAGTACCCAGTATTAAAAAGGTTTGACTGCATCACATTTTCATGAATACCAGTGAGCAAACATGTTGGAATAATTTAGCACATAATATTATAATTACAATACAATAAATTAACCCCAACCCCTCGACTATACTAGCAAAAGGCACTCCTGCTGTGATAACAGTACCCTTCCCTCCTTACTCAGTCAGTCACTCAGTCAGTTGATATGTCAGTCAGTTAATCAGTCTGTCAGTCAGGAGTAGCCATATATTCTTCCTCTGAGTCTGAAAATTTTGTTGAATCGCTGTCTTCCCATGAGTAAACAGGAAACAGCTGCCAAATGTTAACAGCAAGAAGAAGTCAAGTCACTCAAGTAGTGTTTTTCTTTCACTTATCAATTATATTTAGATATGTATCTCTAATTTTACAGTGACATTAAATTTGAAACAGTTTTGAATTTGTGTTAAATTAGGCCAGGTATAGCCACCAAAAGCTGATGAAACTGTATGTCAATCTTGCTTTAAACAAGCTGCATGAGTTCAGTTTATCTGGTTCACTCAATAGCTGGATTACAAAGCAATCTATGCAGCACTTACAGTACTGAAGATAAGTTTAAAATCCCTGCTGTTGAAGTCTTGACACATCTGCTGGACACATCTGATCTGAAATGAAAAATCAGTCATTTTCATCAACAATTGCAGTAATCTTGATTCACATCATGAAGTCATTACAGCAACGAACCCAGAAGTGTGACCTCCTTTAATTAATTCACATTCTTTCATGCAGAAATTAACCAATCAGAAGTCAAGAACAGTTTCCAGCTGGCTTCTGATTGGATTAAATCTGCACAAAAGAATGTGAATAAATCAAAAGTGGTCAAACTGACCAAAATCATGGGCTAACCCCGCAGGAAAAACCCAATTTGGCGAACATGTAAAATCCATATTGCTGTAGTCTGGAAAGGCTTGTTTTCTATGACAACATTACCACACACTATTTCCCAGTCTATCTTACTCAAAAAGGAACAATAAAGAAATTTGAAATTTTTGACCAAAATCATGGACTAACCCCTTATAAAAACCAGTTTAGCGACCATGTAAAATAAACATTTTTATAGTCTGTAAACGCTTGTCATGTATCCATAACATCACCAAAAACTATATCTAAGCCTATTTTGCTCAAAGAGAAACAAACAAACAAAAGATTTCAAATTTTTGACCAAAATCATGGATTAACCCCATAGGAAAAATCCAATGTGATGACCATGCAAAATCAACATTATTATAGTCGGAAAAGAAACGTTTTCTATCCAAAACATCACCAAATACAATTTCTAGGCCTATTTTGCCAAATACAAACCAAGAAGAAATTTCAAATTTTTGACCAAAATCATGGACTAAACCCTTAATTCAATTCAATTCAATTCAATTGAGAAAAATCAAATTTGGGGACTGTCTAAAACAGTTATTTATATAGTCTTGAAAGGCTTGTTTTCTATCCAGGACACATCCAAAGACTTTTTCTAGGCCTTTTTCACAAAAAAAGAAACATGAAGAAATGTCAAATTATTGAACAGACCAAAATCATGGACTAAGCCCTTAGGAAAAATCAAATTTGGCAACCATATAAAATTAATCTTTTTATAGTCTGGAAAGGGTTATTTTCTATCCAAAACATCTCCAAACACAATTCCTATGCCTATTTTGCCTAAATACAAGCAAAGAGAAATTTCAAATTTTTGACCAAACTCGTGGACTACTGAAACCCTTAGGAAAAATCCAATTTGGCGACTAAATACATCAATAATTTTATAGTCTGGAGAGGCTTGTTTTCTATCCAGAACATCACCAAACATTATTTGACAGTCAGTTAATCAGTCTATCATAAGCCACTTAGAAGTTTGCACTGTAAAAGTCAGATATTCTGTCATCTGAGTCAATAACTCAGTAAAGAATCTGATACTTAAAGGTAAATAAATGCATATCTGTACTAACTCACTCAAGTAATAATCTAACTCTTAGCAGAACTTGGCTTTTGATAAAAATAATGGTATATACTGTTAGACAGCTGCACAAAGTAAATTTATGCTAATCTAGAGAAACCTTAATGATCAAGGTTTTAGTTACTTCACTAAAAACTTCTTGATGCTTGCAAATTGATCAATAATCTAGCCTCCCACGCAGATGTTCTTGAGGGTTGGTCATGCATTCCTGCCACATGAACGTCTGCTGACTTAAGCGGAAAAAAACGTAAGTGCACTTTAGAGCTTGAGAAATTTTGTGCTTGACTTTATAGCTCCAGAAAAGATTAGAAAGGTCTCATGAAAGGTGAACACCTTACAGTTTAAAACAAACTACTCAGTTAACTAACAAGCGTTCGTACTAGTGGCTACCCTCACAATGTCATTGAAAAATATTACCTTGGAGGTTAAATTTACTGAACGGAAGTCGGCTTTACTACAAAACAATAACATGTGAAAAAAAATTCTGCCTTTTGTTCAGTCTTACAAGGTAACCCCGCCGTTGTATCACCCAAAGAACAACTTTATGAGCAAACGACATCTAATCCAGCCTTTACAGAGAGAAATATATTAGAAAGACCCAACGTTTAGATTCTCGTCCAGAGCAAAAATCTTTGGTCATGTATCACACTCTACAGAGCTTAAATGTATGTGTTTGGCTTGTCAACACTTTGACTTCATCAGCGCCGGATGGAACTCCGATAATCTGCATGTGATCACCAGCTGATATTTGTGAACAATGGGAAAGGAATTTATCTTTCGGTTCAGCAGACGTTCGTGAGGCAGGAACACGTGACAAACCTCAAAGAACGTCTGCGTGGGAGGCTATCAATAATCTTATTTAAGACCAAATAGAATGTTGTGAGTGTTGGTTGTCTTTAACCACATTTCCCAGTGTGTCAGCTCTGCCATAGGAAACATTAGAGTAAAATGTCTAAAATTTCAGTCAAAAGTTAACAGACAACTATAAGAATTTGGTTAACCCATTCGCCCCTCGGAATTTCGCCAAAAGACGCGTTTTACAGCTAGTTGGGCGGTTTTCTAGTCACTGTCTGGCTATAAATTAAAGATCGAGCTCAACATGAAAATGTTGATGATCTTCTGTCTACAATTAAAATAATTTGGGATCACTCTTAATTTCCATGAAGCTACTAAATATTTGTGGTGCAATTAAGCTGTAAATTAAAAGAAAATGTGCTAATATATTTGTTTTAGGAATGGAATTTTCTTTCTCGCAAAAGTGATTTTTCTGTTGCAGTGAAAACCGATAACCATCTATTTTTTTGTGGAATTTTCTTCTTTGTAAATTAAAGTGATTTTTCTGTTGCAATGAAAACTGATAAACGTCTACTTTTTCAATGGAATTTTCTTCTCGGTAAAAGAGATTGTTTTATTGCAATGAGGACTGATAAACATCTATTTTTTTTATGGAATTTTATTTCTGGGAAAAGTGATTTTTCTGTTGCAATGAAAACTAATAAATGCCTGGTACAGTACCGTTCAAAAGTAGGTTGACACTCGATTCTTGATTGTTGTGTCTTGATTCTCAATTTCTGCAAGACTTATCAAACCGGAAAGATTTGTTTACAAACGACTATAAAGGGTTTTTGTTTCGAGTAATCTGCTAGATTCTACTCTCGAATTGAATTGATGCAAGAATCTACAATCTTTGCTCAAGTTTTGAGCAATCTTCTAACTTCTCTCACATCAAAATAATCTCTCTACTCTATAAAATAACAAAGTCTACTCAGCGTTTGATTCTTGCGAGAAATTCCTGAACTATACAAATTATACAGTAGCAGTTTACATTTGCATTTGCTCGCACAGCTAGGGTGACACTTTGCGTCGAGATCTTAAACATGTTCGAACAACATTTTGCATCATTTAAATGGCAGAAGTTGCCAGTAATAGTTGAACTTGAAAAGCAATCCATGACTTTTTCCGTGAAAAAGAAAACACAGAAACACAAAAAATGGATCGAAATCCACCAATCACAAATTACAGAGCCTTACCGTTTGAACCCCTTAAAGTAAAGTTTTGTTTCCTAAGAGGTCTGTTAAGATGATTGACGGCAGCGAAAAAAGCAATCATCAGTTGGCTCTTGAACTTCAGAATTCACATGTTTGTGAAAAGCGCAGTAACATCGCGCAAGTTTTCATCACGGTAGTTGCAGTCACGTGCTAGGCAACAGAAAAAGTGTTCCATCGCGGAAGAAACCAGAGAGACTCTCAAAGGCCTCAAACTTTACAGAACGCGCTAAATTTCCTAGTAGAATTTAAACCATTGTTTCATGAAAGTTTAAAGGATCACGAAAGCTATTTCAGAGCAAAAGATTAGTCATATTACGGACGGACATGTATGTTACAGCTGATCTTTATCAAGCCAAGCGACAGGATAAGTCCAGAATCATTTGCCGTTACAAAATAAACATGCTGTCGCTTGTGCCCAGGGGCGGGGGGAAACTCCCGTATGAAAGGGGCGGGGATGCTCATCATCTCGCTTCAAGGTGAAAATTTCGGATTTTGGTCTCACTTAGGGTGTTCTGAGCAAAACATCATTATATTAAGCTGTAAAGTTCTCTTTTAGGGTTGCACGCGAAGATATATATTTAATAGTCAGTTCATTTTATTTACTCAATTCATGTAATGCACCTATCAGGGGAGGGGGGCAGGGCATGGGGTGGGGATTTGATTGTCTTTGTTGGCCCTAGGGTAGGGCATTTGACTGATCTTGTTCTCCCAGGGGAGGGGATATTTGAATCTTTCTTCGCCCGACATGGAGATATTTGACTGCCAACTTGGACGAAAAAGACTGAGACTGAATATATGTTTTGCAGTTTCATGCTTCATGCATCCGCCATACGGTCTGCAAAGATCTGGAAATCATGGAGGCCAATGAGAACAAGTGAAAGCTGAGTGGATTTCACTGTTTTGTCTTCAAATTGCGTTTGTTTTAGCGTGTTTTTGATCAATTGAACCTCTTAAGATACTATGGTATCAAAGTAAATGGAAGTAAAGAGAAACCAAGTCGATTTTTGCAAGTACAACTGATCAGTGTACGGCTCATTCGCTACAATCACTGTAAGCTTATAAAATTGACGTTCTTTATACCCTTTACTAGGAACGGTATATTCAAACTTACAAAATGTGGACTTTCTCCTAAAGGTTTCTGTATTCTAAACAGTGTAACACGGATTATGGTTAAAACGTATAATTGCAGCTGTAACAGGAACATGTATCTTTGGGGATGCAGCAACCTAATATAGATAAAGATTGCAGAGTTTTATTTGGAGATATTTTTATTGTGCCTTTCTTGGGTTCTGCTTTGGGATATTTGACAGCAATGTGCAGCCCAGGGTGGGGAGATTTGGTTGCAATTGTCTGGAATGATTTGCCCGTGGGCAGGGAATTTGAATGCAAATTTTTGAAAAATGTCACATCCCCACCCCATGCCCTGCCTGCCCCCCCACGGCTTTACTGTGATAGGTGCATAATCAAAGTTTTCTATAACATCAATAGCTAAAGAACGTTGTAACAAAATGGTCTCTTTCAGGGGTCAAAAAAAGGTTGGCCCACGCCCAGGTTGGTCTCCTTTAGGGGTTTTTCAAAATTTTCGACGAGCATCCCCGCCCCTTTCATATGTGAGTTCCCCCCTGGTAAAAAATATACATATTGAGTGACATTGCGTTACATCTCTTACCGCGTGACACGTCACAAAAAATAGCAAAAACCCTACAGGGAGGCAGCTCTGGTGGCCATTTTTTTCCCATTTAAACTCTGGGACAGAGTTACCGTTTAACCTCTGGTGCCGAGGTTCCCATTTAACCTCTGGGACCGAGTTAATAGTTCGAGCACCTCCCTGCACTTGCTGGGCCGGAGTTTGGTGACCGTCAGCAAGCTCGACAGTCCCCCCCCGGTAAGTCAACCTTCCGCACGGATTAGTCAAGCAGGCTTCAGAGAGTTGGCCATCTCTCACCGCCCTATAACCCCACCGGAAATAATCAACCCTAACTTTGCCTTAGAAAATCAACCTTTATATTTAGATCGAAAACTCATTTCGCTCACTTATGGTACGATTCTTCACAGACGCATGCGTTTTTGGCCCCCCAAAATTGTTTGGACTTTTCGTTGATTCATACACAACATCCCCATTCACTCAGGCTATCATTTGTAAAAGTTTTTTAGTTTAAAACAATTTGTTAAACAAGATAGTAGCTTGTTGGTTTTACAACTTTCTGATTATGTCATTTCATATACAGTTTGAAAGTGCTTTGAAAACAATTTTTAGTATCGTGCAATACAATCCGCTGGCGTAATTTTTCATCACGGTAGCTGCAGTCAAGGGCTAGGCAACAAATAGTTCACGCGTATCATGTTCGCGGAAAAATTAGCAGGCCAATTTTACGAGAGATTTCCGAAAACTTTAAAGAACGCACATTTCCGAGTAGAATTAAAACCATTGTTTCTCAAAAGTTTTCAAGGATCATGCGAATGCAATTTTAGAGCAAAATATTAGTCATGTTACGGACGACCGTGTATGTTACAGCTGATCTTTATCAAGCAAGGCGACAGGATAAGACCAGAATCGCTTGACGTTACAAAATAAACATGCTGTTGCTTGTACGCGATTATGCACTGTTCGTATGCATTTGGAGGAGGCATTTGAAACTTTATTTGAGGAAATAAAGCGTGATACAGATGTGTTTAAAGAAACATTCGCTTGCTAACCTGAATTGGTCTTGTTACGAGTATACAGTCACTTGCACGAATACAGTCGACTTCCGATAACTGGAACCTTCAAGGGAAATCGAAAAAAGTTCGAGTTATCCGGAGTTCGAGTTATCGGGAACTCGAAGAAAATAGCCGAGAGTAAGGTAAAAAACAGTTTTTACTGCACAGTGAACATTTTAATCACATTAAATTGTAGAAATGTCAAGTGAAAATTAAAAGATACTTCTAGATTATAAATCAGAACGTAACGTAACAAAACATAGCCTAAATAAAGCATGCGTTTTACTGTTTTGAGAAGTAAAGCTGCTTCACGTTAGCCTGTGACAATCAACATTAGCCTCCACTAGTAAACTATACTCCTACAACACGTCAATAGGAAATCCAAAATTCTATGTTTCGAACGGCTTTTTTCCGGACTTTTTAAGGGCTCAAAACATGGTTTGAGTTATCGAGGGTAAAATCACATAGAAAATGACCTGAGGGGAAACGAAAATTGGTTCGAGTTAGCGGGAGTTCGAGTTACCGAAGGTAAAATTACAGTGAATGTATGACGGAAATCCAGGGGAAATCGATTTTGGTTCGAGTTAGCGCGAGGTTCGAGTTAGTAAGGGTTCGAGTTATCGGGAATCGACTGTATAACGATGCCGCGTTGTGTTACAACCGTACCAAATTATCGAGAAATCAGTCATGGATGAATCTTTTGTTTTCTGTCCTGCAAGACTCGATCCTCGACTCGATTCTCGATAGTTTGTTCTCGCTTCTCTATTCGCGCAGGAATCGCGAATCGAGTCGAGAATCGAGACTCGCAATGGACTGTCAACTTACTTTTGAACGGTACTGTATGTCTAATTTACAGTGACATTAAATTTCATCAGCTTTTGACCAATCAGAAGTCAAGAACAGTTTCCAGCTGGCTTCTAATTGGATTAATTCTGCACAAAAGAATGTGAATAAATCAAAAGTGGTCAAACTGACCAAAATC